AAAACGCGCGCCAACGACACCAGAGAAATGCGGCAGCACACTGCCCCCAGGGAGCGCGGTGAGGCAAGCACAGCCACTTCCACCCTGACTCAGGCACGTGCTGAGCCACACGGGCGAGCCACACGGGCGAGCCACACAGTGGACATCTATGGCGCCACTCATTCGGCCATCCGAAAAGTCATGGCACATTCTTACACAGAAAAATCCGTCCTGACTTTCCAACCCACTATATAACAAACCCCACTGCGTACAAACACGTAAAGCTAAAACAGGCGTCGTGCAAGACACACGGCTGGGCCGGCCCCGTGGCCCGGCGGTTAAGGGAGCCGGGTCACTCACTGCCTGCAGCGTGGAATCCCAGCCCAAGCAGCTTGACAACCACGCCAGGCACGTGTGAGCGTGTGCCTTAAATCCCAGCAGGATGGAAAACGAAGTCGGACTGCAGCAGGGCCACGCCCCCGTGCGCTGCTCTCTCCCCCTCCGTGACGCTGTGTGTCTCTGGCCGAACTCTTGCCCACTGGCAGTTAAAAAGGGCGAGGGCAAGAAATGGAATATAAACTGGTAAGATTATAATGGAAAGTAATACCCCCAAATCCAGGGCAGAGGTTAACGCTGGGGAATAAAGACTGGATCAACAAAGGACAGTCAAGGGTTTTAGCAATCGCCGAAGTTTAACTCTCTCTCTCTTTAAGGTTTTTGCCGTAGGGTGCAAGTACTTGCCAGAGAGAAGAAAGGTGAAAACTCACCCCTTCCGGTGCAGACGGCCACACTGCAACCCTTTCTCCTCCATTCTCCTCTTGGGATTCTGGGCATGCACTCACATGCACCCCATAGGACTTTCAAGCCACCAGGTCCAGGACTCAAACTGTGGTCTCCTATGGGAGTCCAGAGCTTTACCCGCCATGCCACCTGCTGGCCCCAGGAAATGTTCTTTTTCTTAAACCAGGCAATATTAATTTAATTATCATACTTTATAAGTTATGCATATTTTACAAAAAGACTAATACCTACTCAATTTTTTTTTTCTAAAATGCCACAAGGCAGGCTAGTCAACGGTGTGGTTAAGGCAGCTACCCCCCCTCCCCCCACCGTGGCCCACTGCATGGCTCCAGTTCTAGACCTAGTGGCTTGAAAAACACGCCAGGTGACTTTGCACAGGAACTCCAAATCCCAAGAGGGAAAATGGAGGAGAAGGGATTATGGCACGGTCACTTCCCCAGGGGGTGCATGCTCACTCTGCCTCTCTCTCCAGTAGCACACGTGCCCTGCTGCAAACTAAAAGTGGAAAACGTCCAAAGGGCATGTGAGCTTGCCAAAGAGAGATGGAGAGACAGAGAGGGGCGAGGCAGCCCTCGAGGGCGTGTGGTCACATTACGACCCCTTGTCCTTTGTCTCTCTGTGCCATCAGGATACTGGGGACGCAGGCTTACGTGGCCAGCATGCCTTTCAAGCTGCCAGGGCCAGGCCCGGTCTGACCCACAGCCAGGCGTACAAGAACTGGTTTCCGTAACACACTGGGCTCCAGGGCCAGGCCTCTACTTGTCTTTCTGTCTGTTCGTCTTAAGAATTATTTGTCCAGGGATCAGCAGTCGGCGTAATGGCTACACTGGTGACTCCCATGTAGTCAACTGTGGTTTGAGTCCCAGACCCAGTGGCTTAAACTCACGCCAGGCACATGTGCGTGCGTGCCCAAGATCCCAAGAGAAGAATGAAGGAGAGAGAGCGGCGTGGCCACCCCCCCAGGGGGGGTAATTTCATGCTTTCTGTCTGTCACTCTGGCAAGCACACGCACCCATTAGCAAAAATCTCTCCAAAAGAAAAAGAATTATTTGTTCATTTAGATGATGATGAAGAAGAACCTGACCAGAGAGAGAGGGAGGGAAAGTAAGCTACCAGGTCTGGGATCTGAACCACAGTCAGCCATGTGGCAGTCCGGTGCCTTAACCACCTCACTACCTGCTGGTCCTTACCTGTTTTTTAATACTTTTTGAAGAATTATTTTATTAAAACATTATTTTATTTAACTTTATTTATTATTACTATTATTATTTTCCAGTTTGAATAGAAAGACTGAGAGAGAAGTAAAGTGAGAAAACAAGCCACTAGGTCCAGGACTTAAACCGCAGTCAGCCACGTGGGAGCCCAGTGCCTTTAACCACCATGCCACCTGCTGGCCCCAATAAAAACGTGTTTTAGAAAAGAGCAAGGGGCACCGGTGGCATAGTGGCTAAGGTGCTGGAGACCTGAAAATCACACCAGGTGCATGCCCCAAATCTGGAGAGTGGAGAAGGGACCATGGTGTGGCCATTCACTCCCGGGGGAGTGGTTTCTCTCACTTTTCCTCTTACTGTCTCTCTGTCTCTCCAGCGAGGACAGTGCTCTATGACAAAAATTTAAAAAGAGGGGGGAAGGCCAGCAGGTGACACAGAGGTTAAGGCACTGGATTCCCACATGGCCGACTGCAGCTGAGTCTCAGACGTGGTGGCTGAAAATCACATGGGGGCACTACGTAGCACAGTGGTTAGGGTGCTAAGACTCCCATGTGTTTACACAGCCACCCCCCGGGGGGTGATTTCTCACTTTCTGTCTCTCTGTCTCTCTCTGTCTCTCTGGCGAGTGCACGTGCCCTATAGCAAAAAAAAACTCTCTAAAAAACAAAACAAAACTTCTTAGTGCTGCCTTGCTCTCTACTGCCGGAGGGTACACACACTCCCCAGAGAGAGGCAGAGACAGAGTGCTCTCCAGGGGGTGGTCGTTGCAATCCCTTCTCTGCTTCTGCATTCTACAGGGAGCGCAGGCACGTGCACACGCACCCTGCACGTTTTTCAAGCCACCAGGGCCAGGATTCAGACTGCAGTCAGCCATGTGGACTCCAGCTCCACTGCCCACCAGGCTAAAGCACGGGCCCTACCCCTGCCATTGAGGTTTTCCCCTAGATTAGAACACCAGGCTCCTCTTTATTCTCTAACTATTTTTTTTTAGGTTTACTTATTTATCCCATGAGTGAGAGAGATGCACAGAGGGAGACAGAGCATCCCCAACAGGGCCTGGAAGCCGCCACCCAGCCCGAGCCCCTCCGCCAGCCCAGGCCGGAGCACGCATGCCTGGTGCACCAGGGCAGTCTTCGGAGGCAAACCAGGAAGCTTCCTCTGGGGTGGGCTTCATGGAGCATCGTGTGTGTGTGTGTGTGTGTGTGTGTGTGTGTGTGTGGATTGAGAATCATTTTATTTAATTTAACTTATTTTAATTTGGCCAGAGAAGGACAGAGCGAGCGAGAGAGAGAAAGTGAGAAAGCAAGCCGCCAGGTCCAGGACTCGAACCACGGTCGGCCTATGGGAGTGCAGCGCCCTTCACCGCCGTGCCACTTACTGGCCCCTAGAGCCCCGCGGTGTAGCTAGCCCTAAATTCTGTTTACGAAACCTCAGGCCCAGCCATGATGATGCGGGCAGAGGCTCGCTGCAGAACACCTGGAGCCCCGTGGAGGCCCCGTCAGACCCCAGGCCCTGAGCGTGCCGGTGCACCTGGCTGGCTAGAAGGCTGGGGACCACAGCACAGGGATACCCCATCAGGAGCACCTGACTCTTACCTCTCACAGAGTAGGAACAAACTGAAAAAACCCAAAAAACAAAAAACAACAACTCTCTAGGCCCAGCTGTGGCAGGGGCACACGCCCAGGCACGGGGGCTCGTGCTGTGGTCCAGGATGACTGGGAGGCTGGGTTAGGGAGATCCAAACGTGGCCAGGCCTGTTAGGGACCCCCGCCCCGGCCTCTTTCTCCCTCTCTCATTAAGGAGAATAGAATCTTCATCGTTTGCAGTTTGCCCCAGAAGTCACCCAGCACGTCTGAGGAAGGCGTGGGCGAGTGCGCCAGGGGCTGAGAGAAGGCCTGGGGGCTCCCAGGCTGTCAGGACAGAGGGGTTCGCTTCCAGCAACTCACGTAGATTTCCATCTTACGGTAGAGGCCGTAGTTGAGCAGCAAATTGTGAGTCATGCGGATTCGGTGAGGCTTCATTGGGTGGCCTTGTCCATAATAGTAATTTCCAACATCCCCTGAAGAAGAGGACAGCTTCAGTGGCACAGTGGGACACGCTCCCATGAAAGCCCAGTATTCGCACAGCCAACTCCCAGCAAACTCGATCCCGCTCATTTCCGTTTCCAACAGCCCCTCCCACCTCCAGGAAGGTTAGCTCCAAAGAAAGGTCAGGGCCCTGGTCTAAGTCAGCGCAGCCAATGGCCCCTCCTGTAACCACGGGCATTCGACTGAACGAAGGGCTTGTTCCAGAGCTACGGGGGACACAGCCAGTGGGCTGACCCCCCACCACGCCTCTAAGGAACTCCCTCCAGACAGGAACACGGCCCTCACTCCGCAGCTACAGCCACAGCCCGCCTCCGCGCGTCCCAGTCCACCTGCTTCACTTTCTTTCTGGACCTCAGAGTAAGGCCACAAAACAGTAAGGGGAACGTTATTGTCATTTATTGGTAAGAGAGCTAGACCCGGGCCAGCAGCTGGTGTGGTGGTTGAGGCACTGGACACATCCTACATGGATGACTGCGGTTCGAGTCCTGGACCTGGGGGCTTGCTTTCTTACATGCCCTCTCTCGCTGTCTCTCTCTGGTGAGCTCACATGCCCTACGGCAAATTAAAAGTAATAACAGAGGGACCAGCAGTTGGCGTAATGGCTATGTCACTGGACTCCCATGTAGTCGACCACCGTTTGAGTCCCGGACCCAGTGGCTTAAACTCACACCAGGCATGTGTGTGTGCGTGCCCAAGATTCTGAGAGGAGAATGGAGGAGAAGGGACTGCAGCGTGGCCATCCCCCCTGAGGGGCAGTAGCCTGACCTTCCACAAATTTTTTTTGCCATAGGGTGCACGTGATGAACAGAGAGCCACCGGTCTGGGACCCGAACCATGGTCAGCCATGTCGGGATCAGCACCTTCACCACCACACCACCTGCTCACCCTGCAACGACTTTTTTTTTTAAGAGGCTTTTGCTATAGGGCACGTGCGCTCACCAGAAAGAGAGAGACAGAGAGACAGATAGCGAGAAATCACCCCCCAGGGAGGATGGCCACCACACAATCCCTTCTCCTCCATTCTCCTCTCAGAATCTTGGGCACGCACACACACATGCCTGGTGTGAGTTTAAGCCACCAGGTCCGGGACTTGAACCACGGTTGACTACCTGGGAGTCCAGCGACATAGCCATTACGCCAACTGCTGGTCCCTCAATGACTTTCTTGATCTTACTCTCAAACTTCATCTCTGGCTACCTACCACAGCCACCTTCCCCCACCACACACACACACACACACTCATGCTCACACCCACTCTCGCAAACGATGACCCTTGGGCCAAACCGAAGGGCGGCCTGTTGCTCTGCCTTATCTGACACAGGCACACCCCTCCCGTGTGGTTGTTCTCACCCAGAGCTGAGCTGTTAAGGAGCTGCCCAGGAGACCCACCCGTATGCCAAAGAAAGCCTAAGCCACTTACTACCTGACCCTTCTCGGGAAGTTTGCCGACCTGGCTATGCCATAGACACGCGAGACCATTCTGACGCGGAACGTGGCCTTCACCTTACACTCAAGGCCCCTCTGCTCAGACGGCCCCTGCCACCCGGACTGCCTCCTCTGCCGCTCCTCACACCCCAGCACCTGATCAAGCTCCAAACCCTTTCTGGACCAGGACGGTCTTTGCCCACATCAGCTTGTACATAGCGCTTCATTAATTCTGCTTTGTACCTCAGTTACCTGCATATCTATGGATATCCACAAGACTGACAAAAATAAAAATCAATAAAAACAACGAAACCAGCAGATGGCGTAATGGCTACATCACTAGACTCCCACATAGTCGACCATGGTTCGAGTCCTGGACCTGACAGCTTAAAACACGCTGGGCGCGTGTGCACGCCTGCCCAAAGTCCCGAGAGGAGAATGGAAGAGAGGGGATTGTGGCCCTCCCCCTGGGGGTGATTTCTTCCTTTCTGTCTGTCTCTCCAGTAAGTACACATGCTCTATAGCAAAAATCTCTCTAAGAAAATAAAGTGAATGGGGGAAGCCGGCGCGGG